GAGAATCTTCTGTGACTCGATAGCTAGGATATTTCTTGCAATAATTCGGTTATTCAAAGACAAGCTAACTATTAATTTTTTTATACGATTTACACCATGATTGAAGTTCAGATTTTTCCTTTCATATTGACATAGATTAGCATCAGTGTTGGCAAATAGAACAATAGAGCTCAATTTTTGTCTTTATATAAAAAGTTTTTTATTAATAATTTGCAGTTATTTAAATATATATTGTTAAAGCATTAGTAAAGTAATAAATTTAAAATATTTTTATATTTAACTAGTATGATAGGTGGCGCTTTGTGCCACACATCTTATTTAATATTTAAGAAAAAATTTAGTAAATCTTAAATAGAATATTCAAGTAAATTTATTAATATGCACTATTAAACTGAAATTAAATAAGCATTGGTGATGGCAAATATTAATAAGTTATGAAATCGCAAATTTAATAACCTTGAAGCTTCTAAGATACGTACTATTTGCATATTTCGCTTAAGTAAACATAAGATAAATTAAAACTTTTTAGAAGTAATGAATAATAAATGCAAGTATTGCATTATATCATAAGAATTGATCAAGTGCTTAAAGTCGAGGAATGGAGAAACATTAGCGAAACATATAATGTTTGAAATTGTTATTAAAAAGAATCAACTATGCTAAATATCTTTTAAATCATAAACCTACCTACCAATTAATATCATAAATCTACCCAAATCATTAAACTACCTGCTATTGAAGATTGTAAGAGAAATGCAATCGAAACTAATCGAAATTGTTTTTTATTCTAGTTTAAATAAAAAAAAAACAAATACAGAATATGTTAGTGTTTAAAGTAATTTTAACTCATTATACAAAACGTATAAAAACAAAAAAAAAAGAAAATTTATTCTGCTTAAATATGAGGAAATAACTCTGGTTGGGATACAATCCAGTGGAATATAATCCAGATATGTTTGAAATGTTCCTAAATCCACACAAATCGGATAACATTCGAGTGCAAAATTTGGTCGATATGTCATATAACCAAATAATCTGGCTAAATTATAAATTTATTTAGTCCCGATATTTGGGTTAGATTTTCACTTGGGCTGTTCGAATTAACAATCGGGTAATTATATCATAATTGTATATCGATAACCCAATTTATCAAATCACCTGAATATCGTAACTTGTAATATCCAATCAATTCAGTAATTATACGTATCATAATTGCATAGTTATAGCTAATAATTCAGTAATTATATTATAATTGCAATATCCAATTTATCAAATTACATGAATACTGGAATATCGTATCTCGTAACGACTAATCAATATACACAATTTCTCGTTTAAATTATATTTTTGAACCCAGACCAATTATATATATGACGTAATAAGATTTTGGTCTTGATTTAAAAATAATTAGCCATATAGCGATAATGGTAATTACCTAATTCCATCTATCTTTAAGAAGTCGCTATTATGCTAACTTCTCTAAAACCAGAAATGATTTTACTTTTTATTGTTGAGTCCTACAATCCTAATAAATTTTTTATATGCTTCTTTTTTGTTTATTCTTCGTAGTTTTATTGTACTTTAAACCATAGAAATAATGTAAAATTAAATAAATTTAAACAGTCAATCATATGAATGTCTTCCTGATTGTTATCAAATAATTTCATCATACTATCTTGGAATAGCATCCCTTGAATGTATGTCAGGTTTGTAGCGTGGATTTACTGAATTACGAATCAGATTTCTAGATCAGGTCATCATAATACGATCAAAAAAAATTTAAACCAAATGTTCGTTTCGCTTACTTCTCAAAATTATATGTAAGAAATCACTTTTGGTGCTCTAACAAAAAGTTTTTGGTGGGTAATTTTACTATGCAAATTATCCTTCTCTAGCCCATAACACTAACCCTAACTCTAATATGAACGAATTTGTGTTGCGCCATAAAGCTGGCACACATTCAAGTAATGTTTTGGATTATGATATTATTTCTTCATATTTTCTTGACTACGATATGTAATATAATCTAATATATATTCCGTCTTATATTGATACTATCAGGTTCATGTGAACAAAAAATCATATCTACCAATCATAACTGAGCCACGTGCATATGCGATGTGAAAAAATGGTAAATTATGCATATAGTATAGTATCGCATAATACCGAACACCCTATAACGCATATTAACTCATTAATAAAATCACCTGATCACGAATTGTAATAACGCATAATATATTTATCCAAAAAAAAAATCACTCGACCCGATCATAAATTGTTTTTTCGCACATAATATAATTTATCCAATTAAATCACGAATAAAACACCAATCAACGCCCAGATCTACGGACAGTTTTTTTTAGTATATATTGTAATTAGTAAAATTAATACTTAAAATTTACAATAGAAAAATAAACAAATGAATAGAATTATAAGCCAATAGAAAAAACATATAAACATGAAACCCTGGTTAACATAGTCTACAAGTGACTGGCTTGTCAATGAAGTGACAAGGCCAGCATTATTGCGAGATCACGTGACAACACATGACCAAGTATATATTGGAAAGGACATGTAAAGTCCTATGATGTAATGGAATTCTTTGAGAGATTGTTTTGTGTGAAAATTCTCGTAAAAGGGAAAATATGGATTTAAATAGAGATTGTTTGTTAGTATTTGTTCTTCCTCTTTGGTTTCGCTATTGCTCGCCTTATTGATAGGCTAGCTTTATCGTTTTTCACATAGCATAGACATTGGTAGAAGCAAATACTTGGAACTACAGTAGAAAGTTTTTAAAGGAAATTATAGGAAGTCACAAATTAAAAGAAAGTATGGGGGAGAGTCTGCGTCTACTTCTTCGAAATCGGAATCAGAGGAAAGAAAGTCAGTTTCTTATAATAAAAATAAGAAAAAAAAAATAGATACTATTCCCTTTACAACAAAAGGCCACATGGATCAAATGGATTATTGAAGTCAATTGTATGTTATACTGCAAAGGAATCGGGCATATCTCACCCAACTGCTCTTCAACTAACTCAAAAGTACCAACAGAAAGATCTCGACTCAAACAAGATGATTGACAATGCTCGGGGATAGTGCAAACAAAATTGAGCTTGAAAGAGATCGATGTAGAGCAATCGGTAGTAGGAAGAATTCATCAAATTTCATCTCAAGCGTATTGGTGCCAAAAAATCAAGCTCTTGCCAGTAATTTTGGGCTGGTTAAAGTATGGAGTGCCGCTTTGGCCAAAAGGGGTTATGCCTTTAGCAGTAAAACCAGATCCGAAGCAGTATCTGATTACTATGAAACAGGCAGAGTGGGTCAGTAACAAGTTAGAACGTTTGCAAGGAACGAAGGCAATTTGTTGATTAGGAGACCAGATAAAATGGCCAGATTTTTTACTAAAAGTGAGCCCAGTATTCCTTGTGCCGAAAAAGGGTCCGAAAAAGTGGCAGATGGTAATAAATCTAAGGCGATTAAATGCCACTTTACTAGAGAAAAGCTTCTGCTTCGAAGGGTTGAGTGGCTTTTTACGCACAATTGGAAAAAATTGGTATGTGATCACAATGGATTTAAAAGAAGGGTATCATCATGTCTTGATGACAAAGTACGCACAACGTTTTTTGGGATTCAAGGTTTTGGGCAATTGGTACCATTACAGGGTACTGCCTTTCGGGCTGTCACAGACAGTCTAGATTTTCTCGAAAATAATAAGGGTGATTATAGGTCACTGGAGGTCTTTAGGAATTTTTTGTGGGAACCACGTCGACGATATTTGGGTAGCGCATCCTTGCGAGAAAACATTGAAGCGAATAAGAGATACAGTAATAGAAGTGGACCTGATAAATTGTGGCTTTGTAAGAGCACAATGCAAGGATCAATAGGAGCCAACTCAGCAACTGAGATTTTATGGCCTAATTATAGACACACGCAAGGCATTAGTTATCATACCCCAAGAGAAAATTTTGGAGACACAGAAGCTGCTTTTGGAATGTGCCAGGATGGAAACAATTTTGTTCATTGGTTGGCTGTGGTGGCTGGAAAGGTACAATCATTAAGCAGAGCCTTTGCTCATACGAGAGTGCGTTGTCTGAAATTCTATTTGTTGATAGATGCAATAAACAGAAAATGGTAGGACTGGGATATACATATAAAATTAACAAATCAAGCTCGGGAGGATGCAGAATAGTTAGCTCAAAATCTGGTGACAAAAAATGGGAAACCGGCTTGGAAGCCATCAAAAACAAAAGTACTCTATATCAATGCTTCGACGATAGGCTAGGCAGCAATATTCAGAAAGAATCAGGCATTTGGAAATTGGGAAAGGCAGCATTCATACAGAGAAATAGCGAAACTCGAGGCAAGTGCAGTAATTTTAGGTGTAAGATCCTTCGCAAAGCTTCTGAGCCATTCGTAGATAGACATACACATAGACAATCGTGTAGCTCTAGCTACAGTAGTAAAAGGAGGAAAGTTACCATGGCAAAAGGCCTTGTTGAGAAAATTTTGAAGTCTGCTAGACGAGTTAGATATTTGGCTAAACGAGACCTTTTGGGTCCCATCAAAAGTAAACCCGGCCGACAAGTTAACCCGAGTATTAGATCCATCAGATTGGAAATTGGCACAGAAGATGTTTTTGGAATTGGAAGAAAGGTGGGGTCCTTACACTATAGACATAATGGCAGATCACCAAAACACGAAGCTCACAAGATTCAACAGCCGTTTCTATTGTTCAGGAACCGAGGCGGTAAATTGTTTTACACAAAGTTGGGATGGTGAGAACAATTATGTTTGCCCCCCTTGGGCTTAATTCATCGTGTACTCCAGCATGTAATAGAAAGAAAAGCATCGGCAACAATAATTGTACCAATATGGGTATTGGCGGAGTGGTGGCCAATACTTTTGCTGTATTAAACCGACTATGTAGAAATTTTACCACCTTGGATAGCATTTGAAATAGGATTATCGGGGGAAGTAGAGCTGTGGAGGAACAAAAAATAATGGTTTATAGCAGTAAGGGTAAATTAGTCAAAGCCTTGTTGGATAAGGCAAAAAATTTAGTAAGGAAATCATATTCAGAAAATTGGAATAAAAGGTTGGATAAAGCATGGAAAACTTATTTAGAATATTGTGGAGTTACAGGTCAACGTGCTATTCTGTCGTCGAAGGATTTTCTCTTGTCATGTTTGATTTGGTTAGATTTAACAGATGCTGTATTGGTTTGTTCAAATATACTTGCAGCTGTATCAAGAGAACACCTAGAAAGATCATTACCCGACCCATCAAAGTTATATAATGTTAGGAGGGTTTATAAGGCATTGATAAAGGAATCAAGGAAGGATAGAAAGCCAGAATGGCCATGTGATCTGCTACCGATTTTTGCGTTGAGAAGGTTTGTTATTAATAAACCACGATTTGCAGATATGAATATATGGATACGAGATACAGCTTTGATTGCAATAGAATTAAGGACAATGCGTAGGCCAGTGGAATTATGTAATTTGAAGTTGGAGGATGTTAAATTTAATGAAAATTTATGTTGGATACGGATTTGTAATTCAAAGACCGATCAGTTTTCTAATAGAAAATTTATTCCTATTGAAATTTCAAATAGCCTTTGTTGCCTAGTTAGGTTGCTTAAGAGATATTTATTAATCAGACCAAAAACCCAGAAAAATTAGCTGCTATTCTTGTCAAATAGAAAAAGAAAATGACTATTGGAGCTATTGGAGCTATTGTGAAGAGAGTAGCTGATAATGCACAGTTGTCAGAATGATATACAGCTCATAGAATTAGAATTGGTGGTGCCACAGCAGCGATGGAGGCAGGTTTATCGTTAACTCAGATCCGTGCAATTGGAGGCTGGAACAGTAAGGCGGTTATGTTATATTTACGATCAATAGGTATAGCACAGATGGAAGTGTCAAAGAGAATGGGATTTTAAAAAAAAAAAAAAAAAATGAATGAAAAGAATGAACGAATGATGAGAATAATGATGTTAGTAAAAAATTTGGGATTATCATTCCGATCCTCTTCTTGTTCCCACATGTGTATTTCCAATGTACAGCTTATGATATATGCATAATAAAGTTGTGTGAATGATCGAGCAATAATAATGACTGGCTTGTCAATGAAGTGACAAGGCCAGCATTATTGCAAGATCACGTGACAACACATGACCAAATATATATCGGGAAGGACAAGTAAAGTCCTATGATGTAATGGAATTCTTTGAGAGATTGTTTTGTGTGAAAATTCCCGTAAAAGGGAAAATATGGATTTAAATAGAGATTGTTTGTTAGTATTTGTTCTTCCTCTTTGGTTTCGCTATTGCTCACCTTATTGATAGGCTAGCTTTATAGTCCCACCCCCGCTACTCGAGAATATTTGCATGGAGCCAAAGCTCAAATTGGACAAGCCAGCCCTATAAAGGAAAGAAAAAAAAAAAAAAAAAAAATTAATAATAATAATAATAATAAATTATAGCTCACAGACATCAGTGACAGCTCTGTGACCATTGTAGTAATTGTGGCTCATGGACTAAAATATAGCTCTGTGACTATTGTAGTAAGCTGTGGCGCATGGACTGTAGTAGCAGCTCTGTAGCTATTGGCTGTTTGTAATTAAATGAATCATGGCTCAAAGACTGTTTTTAACAGCTCAATGCCACTTGATAAACAGACCCATAGCAAATTGGTAGTTTGTGTTGGCGTTATATGCGAATACAAAAAAAAAGGAAAAGAGAGAAAAGTAAAAAAGAGAAAGAAATGGGGAAGCGGTGAGTAATATAGTCTTGTAAGTAAGCATTTAATATAAAGTGCGTACAACTAAGATACTCTTTATTCGCTATAATATGTTGACAAATGAGTATGAATATAATACGGTTAGCGATTATTAAAGGGATAATTGTTTGGGAAAGCATGCTAAATGTAGTACCGTGCTATGGTAGAGCAAACCATATTCCCACATGTGTATTTCCAATGTACAGCCTATGATATGTGCATAATAAAGTTGTGTGAATGATCGAGCAATAATAATGCAAATTGTAATGATTATTTATTAATTAGCATCAATTTATCTATGATTAATTCATTTCTTATTTAATTTCTTTTTATTTATGTTTATTTGAACTGCGAATTAATAGTCATTTATCAAAATATTATTAAGGAAATTTATAATTGAAGTACTTAATATGAACTAATCATTTCTCATTTAATTTGCATTAAATTAGTCTGTAATGTTATTATTTTTATTATTTGAGTATTAGACCACACAAAATTGATTTTTTGTTTTGTAGTCAAAATTTCGGTCTGGCAGTTAGTTTTTTTTTATAATAATCTAAACTAATAAACTGGATTTTTATGAAGTTAAAGGTATTCTAAGGCCTTCTTGAAAGGCATTTTACTTGTTCTAATACTATAACCATGATTTCGAGTTCTTTAATTAATTTTCAAATCAGTTAAATTTTAAGGTATTATAAAACTATATTGAGTTTAAGCCTGTCAGTAACTTACCAAGTACGAATTGCAGCTGTAATAGATATTGTAACGGTTGGTTGGGAGAGCGATGCATAGCAAATGTGCAGTGTAGCTCCAACTGCTACTATAAGTTATATGGATTGAATAATAAAAGGTTTCTATAGGGCATAGTAATTCTATTAGGGCGACTTAATGATGGTGCGAAATTAAAAAGAGAATATCATTATGTCCAGGTTACTTTATTATGAGAATGAGCTTTTCCCGTTTATTAGAATGATGAAGTTTTTACTTTTATACATTTGGATTAATATGAAAGAGAACACATTCTGGAACCTACTTTATGACATCAGAGGCATCACGCTACCATGTTAGCCTTATGTCAATATGCACACACTACCTCCTTCGAGGGCTTTAACAATCATGATACTAATCTAGTTAGATAATCAATTACATAAAAAGGGTAAGATTATAAAATTAATTTGTTACAATATGCACTAATCCTTATCCATTTTAAATTCTGAAATTAATGTGTCTTAGTTAATGATGCCTGATGAAACTATTTTTGCGATGACGAAATGGTTTCGTCAAATAGCTCATCAGACAAAACCTTGGTGAGTAACGAAACTATTGACGTTTGACGAAACTATTGACGATTGATGAAATTAATTTGACCAATAAAATATAAAAATGCAGTTGACTATCTTTCAACAAGTTTATTACTTCCTCTGAATATTCTGAATCATAAAATTTTCAAATTACAGTTCTTTCATCAAAAAGTTTCATCAGTTCTTTCTTCGTCAGACCCATCGGATACATCCGGGTGAGTAATGCAAATCATCAGATAATGTCAGATAAACATGTCAAAAAAATATAACAAACCGGGCAGATATAATAATGAACAAAAAATTAAATTCACATGGACTAATTTATTTCATTAACTAGTTTTTAATGACTCCTAAAGAATAAATGCAATTTTTAAATTTTTTTTATAAAAGTTATGTTTTATCATGAGATTCGTCATTCGGCATGAGTTTCGTCATTCATTACGAGTTACGTCATTTGTGATTCATCATTTCGAAGCTGTCTGACGAAATGGTTTCATCATTCATTATAACGAAAGGTTTCGTTATTCGTCAGGCATCATTAGTCTTAGTGAATAGACTTACATTTCTTCCCAAAATAATACAAAATTTTAATTTATCTAGTGTTCCTATCCATTATCCGTTTATCCATTTATCCATCGGATATTCAAATCTAAATTTATTTGGATATCCGTCTTACTATTACAGCTGTTTTCATAAATTCTGAGACATCTGGTAAAAAAATAACCCGAGTGATTATTTGGCTAATTCGATAAGTTTGTGATTCGGCAGTGATAAACTTCTGATTGGTGTAATTAGTATATAAAATGATATGTATTTTTTAATTCATAGCAATAATACTTTCTGAAAGATATTATACAATGTCACTATATTCAAAATTAGTTTTTCATTTAAATGCATACCCAGTATGTTTAGTATGTTTAGTATGTGCGAAACTTTATGGTGAAGATTGTTTTTGCCAACCAGTGGATCTTAATAAAAACATACATAAAAAAGGTTATGAATATAAGATAAGCTTTCATAATAAACACATTACATGAGTAGACGCTAATAAAAAAAAGTTCGATATGATCAAGAATTTGTTGATTGGATTAAAAATAATGTAATTCAAGTTATAATTCCAAACAACCAAGATCTTATTAACATTTGTCGAAACTGTGTTGAGAATTATAACCAACGAAATCAAAGTAAAAATTTATATATTGTTATTCTATTTAAATGGTTTAATATGTAATGGTTATTACAAAATATAAGTCAAAAAGAAAACCAGCATGAATCTGACAAAAGTGTTGAAACAATAGATTTAACTGCTAAAGAACCTTTCGCTTGTTCATCTGTAATAAATATTTTAAAAATGTCCAATTTGCCTGAAGTAACTGTGACTGAACCTAATTTATCTGACTTGTCTAAAGCAACAACTGAATCTAATACAACACCTAACTTAGCTGAATCAACAGCGACTCAATCAAAAATTATTATATCAAAAGAACCAACTAAAAGTAAGATACATTATATGTTTTATTTAATATCTATATATTTTTAAAATTAATTTTATTTTATTTTAGCATTTGTTACACTAGTATGTTACGACCGATTTGAAAAACCACATAAAAAACTTAATGGGGCATTAGCAATCCCGTATGATCTCAAGAGTATAAAAAGCTTTGAAGATATTGAAAGAGAAATTTTATTGCGCTCACTTCCTGAGCAATGGGAAAAGGTTAAATTAGGTCATATTTGTTACCAAATTTCAAATACAACCAAAGCAGATCATTACGATTTGAAATCAGATAGAGCTATTATAGTATTTATTTCTGAAATAAAATGTAAAAAAAATCTTTAACTATGCATCTATCAAGAAAATGAAGTTACTAGGGCTAGTAAAAGAGTTCGCATATTAAATTAATTAAAAATATTTTAATACAAGAGAAGAGGAGACGCCACTAGCGCCTCTATATTAATTGTAACATTTTTTATTGAGATTTATATATTATTTTTGTTATGATTTGTTGATAATTGTAA